CCCTCTGCCTCTGCACATATAAAAGTCTTATTTTAAGGTAACGAAAACAGAACAGTTCTTGTTTTCAGGTGATTATACACTAATAAAAACATAGTTTTTTCCATTTCTATCAATAGATCCTCCTAAATATTACACACTGGACCATTAAACTAATTTCTTGTTCACAATGTGAATAAACACAAGTCTACCTGCTTCTCTAAGCTAAGCATTTTGATTGTCATGATTCAGGCCAGCAGGATGGGTGTGGAATCTGTGATGGCTCTGCTGGAGGCCACACCAGACACTCCTGCATGTGTTGTCAGCTTGTCAGGAAACATGGCTGTCAGGCTGCCTCTCATGGAGTGCGTGCAAGTGGTGAGTTCTTCAGTTTATACAAAATGAATGAATGAACATGGCTTCAACAGCTCACATTACTGCGCACAGGTATGTACAGGTATGTATTACGTTATCAGTTTCTATCTTCTTTCTCATCAGACTAAAGATGTCACCACAGCCATGAGTGAAGGGAGGTTTGAAGAAGCGGTGAAGCTCAGGGGAAAGTGAGGCTACACCTTTGTGTTATTCATTTTAAATTCTCAAGTGTTGTGTTTGGTTTCAAATGTCTGTACATTTCTGCAATATTTTGACAACAGGAGCTTTGAGAACAACTGGAACACTTACAAAATGCTGGCTCACGTGCACATCCCAGAAACAAAGGTCAGGAATTAAGGTTGAACCGTTTTATTGTACATTTTCTGTCTCACAGTCAATAAGTCCCTGTAGAAAATACATTTATTCTGACAAATGTCTGTGTGCCTGTGCCAGAGTAACATCAACATTGCCATATTGAACGTGGGAGCTCCGTGTGCTGGTATGAATGCTGTAGTTCGTTCAGCTGTCAGGATTGGACTCCTCCAGGGCCACCAGATGCTGGCGGTGCACGATGGCTTCGATGGCTTGGCTCATGGAATGGTAAATTAGCTACACACGTGTAAATAAAACAAGAGGGCATTTATTTTCATGACAGTTAATTAGCGTAACCATGTTACAGTAATGCATATGAAAGAGCATGATAGAGCGTGCAATCTGTCCCTGCACAGATTGAGCCTATTGGTTGGTCTGGAGTGGCAGGATGGACTGGAAAGGGAGGCTCCATGCTGGGCACAAAGAGGTGAGATATTTCAACAAATCAACACTCTGTTGATTGGTACCATGCATGTTTTAGTATTTTTAAGTGTATACTGACTTCTATGAACTCTGGCGATGTTGCTTTTTCAACATTGTAATCTACTATGATTCTGTGTTTTCCCCTTTCATAAAGATCTCTGCCAGCTAAGGTCATGGAGGAGATCAGTCTGAGCATCACTAAGTTCAACATCCACGCTATAATCATCATTGGAGGCTTTGAGGTGAGCAGCAGAAATATAGAAGCTATAATAGTCTCACTTGAGCACAGCCTGAACACTAAAACCCAGCTTGTAAATGTGACTGACAGTTATTCACTGACATTTTACTGATTTACTCCCTATCTTCACTAGGCATTTGTTGGGGGTCTGGAGATGGTGCAGGCTAGAGAGAAGTACGAGGAACTTTGTATTCCCCTTGTTGTTGTTCCTGCTACTGTCTCCAACAATGTTCCTGGGTCTGACTTCAGTGTTGGCGCTGATACTGCGTTAAACACTATAACCATGGTAAAATTCTTATAGAACACAAAACAAATATCAGATAATGCAAAAACTAAAAGCGCACTCAATATATTCTTCTCCCTCTCTCCTCATCAGACATGTGACAGGATCAAACAATCTGCTGCTGGCACCAAGAGAAGAGTGTTCATTGTTGAAACTATGGGAGGATACTGCGGCTACCTGGCAACAATGGCTGGCCTTGCATCTGGAGCTGATGCTGCTTACATTTATGAGGAGCCTTTCAACATTCATGACCTAGAGGTCTGTTCTTATAAATGGACAAAAGAGAGGAAGCTAATGGATGATATACATCAATGAGGGATGGATGTTTTTAAACTCTGTGGTCTGATGGTTGATTTGCTTGTAGATGAATGTGGAACACCTGGTGGAGAAGATGAAGACCACAGTGAAGAGAGGACTGATTCTGAGGTTTGGGGGAATTAGCGTAATTTCTATTCTGAGTAAAAATCAACTTTCAATACCCTGCTGCTCACTGTGGCTTCACATCTCACCCAATATTCTACTTTTGTTTCAGAAATGAGAAATGCAACGCCAACTACACCACAGACTTCATCTTCAACTTGTACACAGAGGAGGGCAAGGGTGTGTTTGACTGCAGGAAGAATGTGCTTGGACATATGCAACAGGTGGGCCACTAGATACAGATCTTCTGTCTGTTGTGCGCGGACTCATTACATTTGCTACCCAATTCGGTTTCAGAAACATAAGAAAATATATCCTTTGTTATTAGGGTGGAACACCAACTCCTTTTGACAGGAATTTTGGTACCAAGATGGGGATCAAGTCTGTGTTATGGTTGACTGACAAGCTGAAGGAATGCTACAGACACGGTGAGGGCAACAACAAAACATCTTGTATACAGTTGTGTGATAACCTCCTTTGCTCCCTGAGCTAATGTCTACTATATTTTTAACCTCAAACCTCCAGGTCGTATCTTTGCCAACACTCCAGATTCAGCCTGTGTGCTCGGCATGAGGAAGAGATCTTTGGTCTTCCAGCCTCTGGCAGAACTTAAAGATCTCACTGACTTTGAGTAAGATTTTGTTTTTATTCTCTCACTTTATTTTCACCTTATTCTGTTATGAAATGTTTTGTATTTACTCACATTATACAGTTAGAGTTAGTGGACCAACCCGGGCCAACTCAGTAAACATGGTACATTCCCATGTTGCTGTGGTTGCCACATGCATATACAACTGTTTGCTAACATGTTAGCCCTGAAGCTTAATGTCCCTTGTTGTGAGTTTAATTTGGAGTCTTTCTGCCCCTAGTGGACAGAAACTACTTAATCCAGCTTTAATGAAATATTTTACATAAATGATTTGACTACCTAGGCTTTGATAATGTTCATGTTGTTTTCACTCCACAGACATCGTATTCCAAAGACACAGTGGTGGTTAAAGCTGAGGCCCATCCTGAAAATCCTCGCCAAGTACAAGATCAATCTGGACACCAGTGAAAAGGCTGCGATGGAACACGTCATCAAGAAGAAAGGCTTAGTTCCTCACTAACTTGTGATTGTGGTTACTCTTGCCATCAGACGCTGACATGACCTGTATGTCTTCTGTTTGAAGCACTTTGTAAACTCTGTCTCTGAAAAGTGCAATACAAATAAAGATCATAATTATATCACCGAAACACACAGCAAATCTCACAATTAACACTCTGTTCATTTTTTTTTACGGAAACAGAACAAAAACATATAAATCATTACATCATATTTATATATGTATTTCACACTTATAAACCTGGACCCTATTCTTCGTGAATGTGAAGGATTTGATTGCGATAAGGATTTTCTCAAAATGTGTCCAGAGCTGTTTTCATAACAACATATCCTTAAGATTAGGCTCATTCACGTTAACTGGATCATGGTCAATACTTATTCAAGGTGTATCTGGTGCTATGAAATGGTTGCATATGACTTTGATTGATAGGGCTCATGAAGTTTAAATAGCGAGAGACAAAACCAATGAGTTAAAAGTGGTTGAGAAAGCTGCTAAGGTGCAGATAGATTACATTAAGTCTGTTTAATATGATCTTTTTTAAGGATCAATTTGACAGAAATTCTATTGAATTCTATTGCAAAAACTTGTTATGTGGCTATTAGGAACACCCTAAATAATAATATTTATTGAACCTGCAGCCCCTTTGACTTGAGAATGGTTTATACTTGATTGTTTAAAGACAGGTTTTCTGCAGTGGGCCAAGTGGGGAAATGTAGACATGTGCCCTCTAGTGGATCTAGTGGATGTTCCAACTAAAAATTATCATTCATAACCACACTAACTTTAAAGAAATTACAGGCTATGGGATTTACATAAAAGGCATTTGCCCTATAGACTTTTTAATGCTGTGTTGTTTTACAACAATGAATCACAGTGAATGTAATTTGTTTTTACTATTTAAAAAGGGTCTATTTAAAATCAAGGGAGATGGGAGAACAAATATTCACAGATTTAATATCATAAAACACAAAAAAATGATTACATGCACCTTTGGCAGTAGTTCGAGCTTTGTTTCAGATCCATAAGTCTGTACTGCCTGTCCACAATTCGTCTTTGCAAAACGGTTCAAACTCTGTCACATGAATGAACATCAATTTTCAAATCCTAATGTCTGCACTTTGTCTTGTCCACATCCACACCAGAACATTAACATCATTGTTCTGAGTTACGCTTCACATTTGATAATGATGATAAAAAGAAGAGAATCTTCTTTCAACCTATTTTGCTGACATTTGACATATCTATATCTAAATTATTATAAAACATAATTTAAATGGTATCTATAATGTTAAGTGCACAGATGTGGCTGAGTCATTGTACAATCAGAGAGCTTATTTTAATGTGATTTGACATGCAGTGTATACATGGGAACAGTAGGTGCATTTTTGGTATGATTATGAATGATAATTATTATGATTACGTGTGTCAGGCTCCCAGACTCCCCTTAATTACTATTACTACAATAACTATTTCAAAAGCACTTCAGTTTTTAATGGCTAGCTCTCGGAGGACTATTTAATTTTGTTTACCTTATACGGTATCAAGAGTAATGCCACTTGTTTCTGGGAGATATTTTGTGTAACCATGGTTACAAATGCACATTAACGGTTAGAACATTTATTTATTCATTTAACGTTATTTAATGGTTTAACAATCAGTTGTTACACTTTCTCTTTTAGTTAATTTGCGTGTCAGTTGTTTGGGCACGATAAATAAAACTACAATACCCATGAATCTTTGCATTTCCGGGTAAAAGCGGATGTGCTGTCGGATTGGTCAGCAAACAGCTTTGAAAAACGTCGCGCGGGGGTGTGCAGTTTCCATGATTGTTGAAGATTTGAATCTTTGAAGTTATACGAGTTTCGGAGCCACAGTGTCGCTGCTAAACGATGTTATTATGGACAGCAAGTCTATTTTTTATCTGCCGTGAATAAAAGTGTTGCCACAAAGGTCTCCTGCTTTAAGTAAGTGGCGGTTCAATCTCAAACGTTAACGTTAGTTGAACTGCGTCCTGTTGACGTTGTTGCTAACGTTAGCTGAGCTCTTAGCATTCTCGCAATTTAAAATGAACAATAATTAATTTTAACTAACGTGTTTTTATTTTATTTTATTTACAGCTGTCGACATGAAGTGTTTGAAAGTGGACGAATACATCAAGCGGACTGCTTCTGTGAAGGAGACAGAGCTTTTACTTCGAGAGCTAGAGGTTAACAAAATCACATAACATGAAGTCAAGATTAACTGCCTCTAAATGAGCCCTGTTCCCTTTACTTTGTCAGGATTAGACCTAGTTTATGTATTTTTAAAAAAGTATAAATCTCACTTTGAAAAGCTAACCTAAACCGGTCTTGTGCGTTTGGTTGTTTTTGTTTGTTTTGACATTTTTCAGAGTTATGTGAAGAGTCGACCAGGCCTTCAGGGTCGCACACTGTGTGACAGGATCATCAGAGCCTGTAACCATCAACTTGGAGCTGGATCCCCTGACTTTGACCATGTCAGTCAGTTGGTACAGCTGGTGGAGCTTTCTCTACATGGCTATGATATTTCTGCAGCCGCTGTTGCTCAGAGTCCTCTGTACATGGAAAAGATCATTTTCCATATTGTCAAGAAGCTAAGCTCCCTCGAAGCACTCAGTCTATGCAGCTATGTAGCTGGGTTGCTTTACAGCAGGCTTAGCCCAGCCCAACAGGTATAAATATATATCTCTCTCTTTTTTTTCATGTACATGTGTTATATATGTCACTGCATAACACTATTAACAAGGTTGTCACTGTTGTATGGTCCATAGGCGGAGGACTACTGTGTTCTTGTGCGGAGCTGCTTTTCCGTGCTTTGGAACGGACTATCTGCCACCAAAGACAAGAAAATCCTTAATCCACGGGACAAACTCCACTGCCAGATGCAAGCTCTAAGCTTCCTTCTGTTGTTGGACACAGAGAGTGCAACTGCCTCCATCTCCAAAGCTCCCATTTACACAGAGGATGCAATCACTGAATATGAGAGTAGCTGCGGAGCGATAACCAAAGACGACGCTGCTTTTCTTCTCCAGGAAATGCACACGCTTTTCAGCAGATGTTGGACTGGTGGTCGAGGCTGTGAGGTGGACGGATCCAAGCGATCTGCCGAGACATCAGTTTTATATGTGCTTTCTGAAATGGTGCTGATTATTGTGAAGGTGCTTTGTAAGGCCAGCCACCATGATTCTGCCTTTATCTTCGTGAATGATATTGAGAGTAAGATCAGGGACTGTGCTGACTGTCAGTGTACAGCTGCTGTGCTAGGCAAATGGGCAGTAAAAATCAGTTCTACAATGAAGGCTGGCGGGGAGTGTGGTCAGGCTTTGACAGAGTGTGCCAGGGCCTTGAGGTCTCTCTCAGCTGACGTGGGGTACAGAGAAGCTCATGCTGTACTGGAAGGTTGCGGACTGGTGGTGTGGGCTGTCGAAAGTGGCCAAAGCAAGGGTTTAAGTGGACCTGTGCTTCTGGCTTGGTTTTCTTTTCTTGAGGAGCATCAAGAACTGATATCAAAGATGCTAAAGAAGGTGAGTATTTACTGACCAGGAGTTTCTTATTAGTTTGTATGTGTGTGTGCTATAAAAAAGATCAGGGAAATCATTCTGTAAAATAAGAGGAGTGTTTGGATTTCTCTCAGTTGCCATCAGAAACATATTTCATGGTTACTTTTGTTTTCTTCACAAGAGTTTGTACAGATTGTCAACCTGTGGTTAGCTTTCTTTGCAGAATTCAACATGCCAGGCTGAGGGCAGCAGACTGCAACAGACCCTTTGCTTCAGTATTTACCAAGGCTTCGTATTTGCTTATGAGAGCATGCTGGCATCACAGGTGAGGCTGCTTCTGTAACATCTAATTTTGTGATGATGATAGTAATGACAAAGCTGAAAATACTCTGATTTAGGTTTAATTACTGATTGTGATTTGTTGTTCTTAGCTGGAGAACAGTGACACACTGGACAGAGTGCTGCTGTACTGCCAAGCCACAGCTGGACTGATGATGGCTGAACTGCGTAAACTGTCGAGTGAAAACCTTCTCATCAAAGCAGGTGATTACAGTTGTGATTATTAATGTTGTCAGGTCACTTGAGTGGTGCTGAAGTGTGTATTTAAGTAGCAATACATAGACACATTCATTGTTACGCCATTTGTTTTTTCATTTTGTGATTACCATGTGTCTTGCAGTGATTGCTGTGAGCAACTTAGCTTGTGGATTGTACAACCGGCGCCTCTATGACCAGGCCTTCACGCTAGTTGAGATCCTCTGCAGGGATCTATGCAAGAACTGTCCTGTCTCACTCTCCGTCGATAGGGTAAGCTCTTAAAGCATGTTTTGATTGATTGTGTCTTTGTCCAAAATGGGCTCGGGGATCGGCATACATAAGATTACCTATTCATTTTTACGGTCGTCTGTATTATTATCGTGTATTTTGACTACCTAGTTGAGCCGACCCTTCATGCTGGCCGTGCAGACGTCTCGGCGGGCTGGACAACTGGAGCGAGCTCTGGACTGGGTGATCCTGTGGCTGAAGGCTCTGGGGGACAAAATCACTACTCATATGGCCGAACCAGTCTCTCTCTGGGTGAAAACGAAGACCGACGCAGCCCGTAACTCTGAGGAGGACATCCGTCTCAGGTACAGACAAATCATTCTAATTTTATTTATTTATTTTTTTTTAAATTTGTGTTGTTTGTGACAACATTGAAGTTCTCATAGACCAAAATAAAATATCAGCAGAAAGGAAACTTAAAACGGCTGCATTGTTCTGTCCTGTAACAGGACATTACAAGATGGTTTTGGTCCAGACGTCCCTGATGAGCGAGTAATGCTTTGCCTTCTGGAGGAAGAGTTGCGTGCCTATAAGGAGGTGGCAGGGGACACAGCCCAGGAGCGTTACAACACTCTCTGCGATCTGTTGGACATTTGCCACGAGGAGAGCCCACACACTCATCTACGTGCTGTCTACCTCTGTGAGATGGCCCAAGTTGTGTGCTATCAGGATTTCAGTGAACAGACCGACTGGTAGGAGCCTTTATTTGCATCATCATTTCTAATGAGCTGTATTCCTTGATAGATACAAATACACTCTTTTGTGCTCCATGGGCCAACATGGGCACTGGGCAGCAGCCAAATGTCTGTGTGTTCATTATATTCATTTGTAACTACACAGCACAGCAGTTGATTTTACCCACGAAGCCTTACGGATACTTGAAGAAGAAGCAGAGACTCCCGAGAATGCTGATAGACTGAAGGATGACAAGGCCCATGCTTTACTTTGGCTGTACATCTGCACCCTTGAGAAGAATCTTCAGGAGGTGAGTTCAGTCTGATCTGTCCAGATAGCATGTGCATATTTGTATTACTTTTGGTAGATTCATATTTTTGTAACAAAAGTGTCAGTGTTTACAATTTATTCATTTTCTGAGGCTCAAGTGTCATTAACTAATGTTGCTTGTGCATTTTTGGCCAGGCCATTGAAAGAGACATAAAACAGCGTGAGTTGCGGGAGCAGACACGCTGTGTAGCCAATCCCATAGGAACCAATGATTTTGATTATGAAGACAAGCAGAAAACACAAGACAGCATCCTGGTCTATGAAGGCCTGCATTTCAACCTGGCTGCAGAGAACAGTAAGAACCCTTTTTCATATCATCAATCATCGTACTGTAGACACCATCTGTACTTTATCCATGTGCCGTTCTACTTCATCTCTGTCAAGTATCATTGGTGGGTCAAAAATAGATAATGGTTAATCGCTTGCTGCCTCTGTGAGATTAATAGACAATATTCTTTATTTCCTTTTTAAGAGTTGTGCAAGCCTTTGGAGAGAGCACTGGATGTGTGGTCCGCTCTTCTACAGAGTCAAGTGCTGACTTCACTCAGAAACCCCAAACAGACCTGTAGCTCTGTTGCTGTGACTGCAGCTCTCTTCAAACTTATGGGAAAGGTAACAACACAGAATATGGTCAGACTCATTTTGGAGGGTCTTTTTTTGTCGTGTTTTTTTTTTATATTCTCTATTCAACATTAACCACTTCACACAATGAAGCTGTATTAATTAGATATGAACATTTTAAGTGTGACTCTGACTGTAATTTGAATGTCCCTAGAAAACTTTAATTTTAAATTGTACTTTAATTGTACCTTTTTTGTTTGGGTTTTTTATGGTGTATCCTCAGGTTGTTAGTGTTAGAACTAGTGTTCACAGTGGTATTTACAGTATATGTGTATTTATCAAGTCTCCTTATTCTCTTATGTAGCCTTTAAAGGCTTTGGAAGCTTACCAACTTGCGATCGGACTTTCACGTCAACTTGCTGATGCTCATGGATGTGCCAGCTACCTCTGTCAGTCAGCCAGTATCCTTCTGGATATGGGCACCCCTGAACTGGCTTTGGTAATGCAGTTTTGCAGTAATTAGTCATGGCAAACATACTAAATCTCCCTTTATATACTTTAGGTCACTTTGTTTATTTCTTGTTTATTGTGCTATTTTTAAGGCTCAGCTAGAGCAAGCAGAAAAGTTGCTCACCTCAGATTCCACTGCTGAGGGACCTTCTTCTCTCTCCATGCTGGCCATTCTGTTGAAAGCTCAGTACTGCTACAGCGTAGGACAGGTAGGTAACATGTCTGCTAGCAGTATTTCTCATAATATTCCATTGTGATTGTTTGCTTTTGCTTCTAATGGGTGATTTCCCCTTTCTTATTTGACCATATGTCAGGTGGATCTTGGGGTGCCTCATCTGTGTGAAGTGCTTAAAGAAGTGAATGAGCAGAGGCAGTCCAAGAGCTGGTACTTACTGCGTGCTCGGACCCTCCAGACCTGCAGCTCTTATCTGAGTTTGGACACCACAGCACTGCCACAAGCCCAGCGGAACCGTATCACACAGGATGGTTAGCTAAAGCATTTGTTACACTTAATATAATCAGATGCTTTCCTGTTTTAATTTTGCATTGTGAGAATGTAGAGCTAAGGTCTATGTCTGTGTCTGTGTGTGTGTGTGTGTGTGTGTGTGTCTGTGTCTCAGGTATAAAAAACCCAGACACTGCCCTGTATGAAAGTCTGAAGCTTCTTTGCAGCCTGCTGGTCACTTTAGTGGGTAAGGGCCTATACGGGACTAACGGCAGCAGCTCAGACATACGCTTCGTCGACCAAGGTACTTTTGTCCACATGTACAGATGCTATGTACTCACAATACAGGGAAAAACTACTAATTCCTTATTGATGTTTGTTTTAGAGGAGTCTGACATGTTGATTCTTTCTCTGTCTGCCTTGGTCTATGAGCAGGAGATAACCTGCTGCTGAAATGGCAGCTTCTCTCAGAGCTGTTAAACTGCTCAGTGAAGATGGTGACTGTGAGGAGCACCTGTGGGGCCATCAATGACGCCAGGCTCCAATGCCTAGAAGCTCTCAAACTGGCCACCAAGCTGCAAGCACTCAGCCAGTATGTACACAGTAGTGGGTGTGAAATGTAATTAGTGAATCAGGGTCCAAAAGATAACTTCTGCTTATTCTCGCTGTTCTTACACATTGTTTTCTGTAGTGTTAACTTTTAAGTGTGTTAAGTTTGATATAGTGTTGGTGCATATTTATTGGACCAGAAAGTTTTACTACGGCCTGTACAGTCTACTGGAATCTAATACAACAGTGGTAATAAATCTGTAATAAATCCTAATTATATGAATCTTATTTTACACGTCATAATAATACACTGTCATAGAATAGCTGATTTAACTCTAATTTCTACGGCTGTACTTTGTGGTGGTGTTGCTGAACCGCTTTATATTAATAGTAGATTTTTGCAAGGCTTTTATTTTACAGTGTTAGATTATATACATGAACTTTAAATAAAATTCAAATTAAATGATGAGTAATACTGTACTTTTAATGTCCTTATAATTGGCCTAGAACACAGCACAATACACAAGACTAACATAGTATATATCCAGTCAACAAACCTTTTTTTAAATCACACGTTCTAATTTTTTGTTCTTTGTTTTAGATGTGCTGAGCTGCTGGTGATGAAAGCTGAGTTGGAGCTGATGCAGGGGGAGAGAGAGGAAAGTGGAATTGATTTAGACAAAGTCAGGAACCTTCTGGAGCTTTGCACAGGTCTGTTAAATACACAGTTCAACCATTTCAAATAGGGCCAGACAGTGATCAGTGTTGTTTGACTTTCAGCATTTGATCATATTGTGTTATTTCAAAATTATGTTGCCAATGTTCATAATTCCAAGCAAAAAAAAGCTATTGCAGTTTGTGTTGTCTGTGTTCAGTCCACTGTTTAATTTATAGTAGTGACATTGCATCAGACAATGTCTGTTTCCTTGAGCTACAAAATGGAATTTTTATTTCTTTTCCTCAGATTTTTCTGATCAGGTGAAGAAGGCGGAGGTGAAAATCAAACCCAGGAAAGGTCGTCCAGCACAGAAATCTCAGTCTCCCCTTCCTACCATAGAGGATGATTTTAAGGGCATCCTGAGCACTAGGTGGATTGCCAAAGAACCTGTACTGAGGGATCTGGCCAGCTCCCCGCCCCTTAAAGCCCAGCCTCGCCGCTGGCTCTCCTCCCTGGCACATGACTCAAACTGCCAGTGTCCCTGCTGCTCTGAGCCCTGTTTGGGCCGTGCCACTGCTCGCTGGGCAGCGACACAGGCTGATCTGGTTCTCCAGCTAGATCCCAATGAAGCCAGAATCAGTTTGAAGCTTCAATGGGCAACATTAGCACGCTGTAAGAGTGTCTCTGCCAAACTCGGGGTAAAATTAGCTAAACTCTTCCCTCCCTGTGGCCCTTCCAAAGGCTTCTCTAAACCCTCCCTGATGCAGGACTTGGTGGGCCGTGTGTACCTTCGCATGGCCCTTTTGGGGCTGGAACCAAGGCTTAATAAGGCCTGTGGTATATGGAAAGTACTGGAGGCTGGCTTAGCATTTGTTGATTCCTCACCCTCTCCTGTGCTACGCCCTGTGAGAGCAGGCCTAATGGCAACCAAAGCCATAGTGTCATTAGTTACCTTGGCTGCCAAAAAGGGCTGCACCCCAGAAGAGCTCTTCTCAAATGCTTGGACTTGGAATGCACCAAAAGCGGATCCACAGCTGAAATCAGAAGAGAAAGCAGTGCCTCCCTCATCCGTGCTTAAGAAGCCTAAAGAGTCCATTAAAAGCCCAGATATTCCTAACAAAACAAAGGAGGCAAAGAATGTAAAGATTGTCAAGCCCAAGATTAAAGTGACAAGCTCCTCAACCAAAGCAAAGGGACTGGTTCCCATGACACCAGTGATGGTTAAGTCAAAGCCTTCTGTTAGGGACCTTGGGTCTTTTGAGTTTAACACAGTCGTACCTACTTTGGCCTGTACTCCTCTTCAAAAGGTTAAAGCCCCTGCCTCAGTGCAGAAAGCACAGAGGACTGCCTCTAAGCTACAGTTTCATGTGTATGAAGAGTTGTCACCAGTTCAAGACAACGCCCGACCTGTGCCTGCTGCCCCCAGACGCACAAAGAAATCACGTTTCAAGGTAAGCGTCCAATCAGAGTAGAGGTTACAAAAACTTATTTTTTTATTTTTTTCCCAAATGAAAAATATATATCTTTTCAATATGTCAATACAGGTGGAGTTTAGCGATGAGAGTGACACAGAAGCTAATACCCAGGCTGATACCACAGAAAAAACACATGTCCCTAAAAAGCGAACCACCACAAGACGAGCTGCCCAAAACAGTAAAACAGCCCCAGATCCACCTGCAGAGAAGGTCCAACCCAAGAGGCAGGCCAAGGGTAAGAAGACCACTTCATTGCCTCGGACTACCTCCTCTGAGGATGACGAAACTGTGGTCTGTCAGCCAGCCTCAATGAGAAGAGGAAGGACCAGGAGGGAGCTGACCAGGACAGAGGCAGATTCAGTGGAGGAACCAGACAAAATGAGGACCATTGAGGAGGAAACTACTGGAATCCTGGACATAAGCATTGAGCAGCTCAGGACATCAGACACTGAGAATGAAGACAATCCTGCTTCAAGCAAAGATGTTGGTGTGTATTTCGTGCACATGGAAACTTCCCATAAACTTGCACACTTACTTGGCATTTACACAGTTAACATCCACCCCCACATTTCTTCCCAGCTCAGCTTAATGTTTTGAAACTCCAAACAGGTCATAGTTAAGTATGAGAATATAAACAGTAAGAGAACTTGTGAATTTGTGCCTGCTATTGGGCACTATAATAAAACCAGTAACATGTCGGATGTGCTGAATGCCAGGAAACAGCAATAATAGTCAACACTTTTTCTCATAAAATGTTATTAATAGTCAGAGCTCTTTTTTTTTCTTCTTCAGACATAGATTTTGAGGTGTTGCGGAGGGACATGTGTTGCGATTTTGAGAGAGACGATTTGTCCGAACTGAGGAGCAGAGGTCATCTGACAGAAGATCCACAAACCCACCTCTCTCATTCAGACACCAGGCCAGGTGAGGCTTTACACTGCTGCAGTCACAGTTGGTCTGCAATGATACTATATCTTTAGGGTATCGTTTGTCCTTTTTATAGGAGTGTAATAATATGTCTGCTACAGCAATAGTATTACAGAAGAGGTATAACTGAAATGTTCTGCAAGGTAACACTACAAAAGAAGGGAAAGGAATACTAAAATCTGTTTTTTGTAAGCTGGAATTGAACATAAACGTAATTATACAGCACTATAAAATAGGGATGTACTATTATGCCTAAACTCTTTAAGGAATTTTTTCTAGCTCCTTATCCACTGTCATTTCTCCTCTTTTTTCTTTTACCCCAGACAATCTGTCTTTGGAGGATGTTCAGTCACTTCTCCGCTCAGCCTGGTTGGCCTTTCAGCACTTCCCCTCCCCCACAATCTACACAACCCTCTGTACTCTTCTGGCCTTAACCATGGGACAGAAGGACCCCATAACTACAGCGATGCTTCATGCCCAGTCCTTGGGCATCACTAGTCGTCATCGCACAATCAGACATTTAGCCAGTTGTCTCAAGTAAGCATATGTATTGTGTGTATAGCATGGATTTCCCTCTTACCAAACTCAAGAAAACAAGATATCTTGAACTCAATTAAAATACATCTTTTGATATGTGATAGCTCAAGTCTCTTCATTTTTTAAATTACGGTACTACAAATTGTGTTCAGACATTGTTGAATATTCCTGTTTGTTCGATGTGTCTTTCTAACAGAAAGCTGAGAAAGCCATCCAGTGAGCTCGAAGACAAGATGGATGCTCTGAGTCTCAATGACCCCAGCCTGAGCGAGTCCAAGAACTCTACTGCACAGATGTTGTCGCAGTTGGAGAACATCTTCTCCTTTCCAACTCCTGACTCCTCTACTTTCCCCAAGAGTCACTGTCAAGAGTTTATCCAACAAATTCAACACCTTCCCTCAGGTAAAAAAAAATCAATTGATGTGGTTGGCACATGTTAATGATGCATTATGAGAGGTAATAGTAATGTTTTTGATTGTTAATTTGTCAGACCTCTATAGTTACAGTAGCAAAGGGAATAACATACTACAGTGTACATTTTTGTCTCTTCTATAACAGAATAGCACAATGTAAATTGCATTATGCTGATGTTATACATCCTGTCCCTGGGCATGTTCTTTGTCCTGTACAGGGGTAACCGTGTGCGTGATGTCCGTGCTTGGAGTAAAACCTGGTGAGATGGGTGACAGCATCATACTGTCACGTCTTGAGAAGGGATCTGCCCCCGTCACTGTTCACATCCCCACCTCTAAACAGCAGGTGAGCTCAGTAAATTATATAGAATGGTAGCTACAACCTGAAACTAGACAATTACAGTTTCAATGTTTGTGGCCTGAGCAATATGGAGATACTAGTGCCTTCAAATCATGCTCACACTCCTTTTACCCATCTTTTTACCTCTGTCTTTGTCTCTCTGTGTTCCCTTTGTTATGCAGCACCCCATTAGCTGGCTGGTACAGGAGATAGATAGTATTCAGGTGGAACAGAAGGCCATGAGCTGTGTGTCTGAGAAAGCCAAGTGGTGGGAGGGTCGCAGGGCCCTCGACTCTCGGGTTGAGGTAAGTGGTGCAGAACAAGGGTACTCCCGGGAAGTCCTAAAGGGTTTCCCTGCCTGTATTATCCTTCTACTCAGACATGTAACACCAAGAAAACAGGACACAGAAACAGAATATTTAGTCAAGTTTTGACTAACAAATGTCACTTACAAGTTCACAACATCTTTCTTTCAGCGACTGATGAAGGAGATGGAGGGATTGCTGGGATGTTGGAAGAGTTTACTTCTACCCCTTTCATTGGATCCTGAGCTCTCCAAACAGGCCCAGAACCTCTGCAAGTCTTTGTCTGCAAGGGGAGTGACAGTCAGTGAGGAGATGTTGAAGGTGTGTGTGGTTTTCTTTTTTCTTTTTTTTTTCTTCTAGCATCAGCATCTGAGCTTCCATTCTGCCTTTGTCTGAAGCACAAAGCAGCAACCAGTGATCATTTTGACTTGTGTTTCAGGCTGTACTGTCTGCCTCTCCTGTGCTCTCCCAAGAAGACCTTAAAAGATTTGCTCTGGGAGTTTCTTCACAGTGGAACATTGAGTGTGACAAGCTTCTCCATACAGCTGTGTCCCGGCTCGCTGTCAGAGACGAGCCCCAGAGTCATGTGGTTCTCATCTTGGACAAGGTTGGTTTAGTCATCTGTATTTAATACTGAATTTTCCTATAGACTGATTTGTGAATACAGGGGCTTTTTGATGGAGAAAAGACCTTCAAATCACTGTTACAATGTGTCATTTTCTGAGGTAGGATAAGGCTAAACTGTAATAATACTGCCTTCTGCTTCCTTTGCACAGTACCTTCAAAAGTTGCCGTGGGAGAGCATTGCCATCTTGAGCTCTCACTCTGTCAGCCGAATGCCTTCTCTGCACTCACTAATTGGACTGAGCATTCAGAAAGAGGTGAGATTAAACTCCATTATTGTGCCTACATGCCCTGTGGTGCAGATTACTTCCTGACAGTTAAGTTCAGTGGTGGTTATGGATATTATTTAAATCTTCCCCTTTAGATTGACTCTCAGTCCATCTTGAGGCAAGGAGTGGATACAAGGCAAGTTTATTACGTGCTGGACCCTGATGCCAACCTAGGAAACTCTCAAGACCGATTCAAGGAATGGTTCAGCAGGTGAGACCAATGCTTGCTACCATTAAAAGAGCCATTCGATTTGCCCCTATGTCTTTCTGTCACTGGTCTGTTGTTTTCTTCTTCTATTTACTACATTACTATTCTTTTTGAAGTAAACTGCACTGGGAGGGTGTGTGTGGAGTTGCTCCTGACTCGGGTCAACTGGAAGAAGCTGTTGCGACCAAGGATCTGTACATGTGAGTTTGTGATGATCTTAACTTTAGATGAAAATGTTTCACTATATTCAGACATTTTATAGACTAAACAATTAATCGTTTAACTGAGAAAATATTTGGTCGCTTTAATAAATTGATTAATGAAATCCATCGTTATTTGCAGCCCTATAATAGATCATTGTCAAACTGAAAGAAGTTACACAGAAGAAGTCTTTAAATAGATTGTAAATTTGCAAACACTGTTTGTGTACCAGCTTTGGTCTATATTAAGCTCTTTGATTTGATAACTTGTTTCATTTTATGTTCTCTCTCTCTCTCTCTCTCTCTCCCTCCCTCCCTCCCTCCAATGTCCCTCTTAACCTGGGGTGCTTTAGTTATGTTGGTCACGGTGCAGGCGCTCGATTCCTAGACAGCCAGGCAGTCCTAAAGCGGCAGATGAGAGCAGCTTCTCTGCTTTTTGGTTGCAGCAGTGCCGCTCTGGCAGTGCGTGGGGATCAGGAAGGGCAAGGCATCATCCTCAACTACCTCATAGCAGGATGGTGAGATATGTCTTTAGTTTTTTTTATATCTTGATGTAGCTGATCCAGAAAGTTGAATGTGCTGATTTTATTTTTTATTCAGTGAATTGACTTAAAGTGCTCTGAACAGGACTCACATTCATGATATCGTCAGTTTTGTTAAATAACATTAAAAAAAAATCAATATTTTTTACTGGTTTGCTGAAAGTAAGATGGCTGCCACCAATCTTTCTCTCTGTGGAAACTATTTTTATAGTACAAGGAATATTGATTGATCATTATGTGTCATAATTTCACTGACCACTGGATGAGACTTTGTGTCATCATTTCCTGTGTTGTCTGTGTCATGGACATTTCTCTTTTTCCTCCTTAGCCCCTTTGTTTTGGGAAACCTGTGGGATGTGACAGATCGGGATATTGATCGCTTTACTAAAGCCTTGTTGGAGACCTGGTTATCTGCTGGGTCTGGAGCTCCCCTTCTGGATCATATGGGCCCATCACGTCAGGCCACACACCTGAAACACCTCATCGGAGCTGCACCTGTGGTCTATGGCTTACCAGTCCACCTGCAGTAGGTGGTCCGATGAGCCAAAGCTCTTCTAAAAATGCCGTAAATAATCTATGCAGTTTCCAAATGTATTGTTTCAGCATGCAAGCTGGAGGACGTGACTTTAACTTAAATTTGAATCCTTGTTTTTGCAGGCTTTGGCCAGATTAAGTACTGCATTTCCTTAATTTAAACCAATGCTTCCGTTTTTAAACCAGTGCCACTACAGTGTAAATGATCTTAAATATCTTGCAAATTTTTATAAAGTGTATGAATGGACTGTCGATGTGTTGATGGAACAACAGTTTTTGAATAAATGTGTTCTCGCATACAGTCAGTGTCTGCATTGTGGAAATAACTTTGTAATCAGTCACATTAATGCAAAGAGTTGGGAAAAATTATATTTACAGTATTATCTTCTAGAACAAGAATAATATAATGTAAACGGTTGGAACTAAATCAATGTACTGCAGGAACAAGTTAAATCTTACACAACATAAAAATCTTGATTGTCCATACACATAAAAGCTGTAACTATAATTGTTTATTGAATATTAACATTTAAATGTGTTCCATTTTCCTACATTTAGTAACCTGTATAGAGTTGGCTCTAGAAGCATTTGATCCAGAGCTCATTTTGTTTGTGGCTTTATATTTTTTTGGAGATATGAAAACTTTTTGGAACTTAAAGTGTCAGATATACTAGAGCATACTCTCATCCACATTGGATGAGCTGGTTGGAAACAAGGGCTCTAAGGCACAAATACTAATAGAATATCAGGGCTACAAATATTAAGGCAGTTTTGTCCCATCACCACAACTTTTGACACGTTTCACTTATCCTAACAATCCCCCCACAAAACACTGAGCCATACAAAACCAAACCTTACTTGTTTATCCTGCCATGTTGACAGCTTTGTAACAATGCATTTTCCAGCCTAATCCAAGGCCAAGTTGTTTTTGCTGCTACAGTTGCACTTCTTTTTCAAATAAAACATTAGAATTTTTGTAATCCTGAGGCTTTTATGGTTTGGTTTTGGTTTTTAAGGTTACTTAAAAAAAAAAAAAATAACTCCAAACAGTTGCCCTTGATTTTTAATGAATTATACAAAACAAAACAAACATTTGCAGCTATTTTATCAAATTTCACTTTCCCTCGTAATGTTATTGTGTTATATTGTGTTATGTGTTATTGTAAAAAAAATATATATTTTTTTTTTAGAAAAGCCGCTGTGAAATCAGGCATTTTAGGCCGCAACTGCTGAACAACTAATTATAAATTGTCAATCGCCAAAAGCCTGTGAAATCCTTGAGGGACTCATTTTTATAAAGTTTATATTTTAATTTCATTGTTGGTGGTAAGGACTTTTATGCATGTACGTATATTTTATATGAATATATAAAAGTATTGTAACCTACAAATTGCCAAAAACATTTTAAGCTCTTAAAACAAGAAAATAATGAGCACACTCGAGACATTGAACAGGTTTCGAGAGAGGAGGCGCATCCCATGTCTTATCCACAGGGGGGCGGTGTTTCAGATTAATCACCGCCCATCTCAACCACCCGGAAACACTATCATTAAGGGTCATTTGGCATCGCGCTTCCAACATGGCGGTGAATCTCACAGACCTCTCCCTGCCTCAATTAGAGGGACTGAAAACCCAACTAGACCAGGTAACATTAAAAAGTGTCGTGTATTTGATGTGTGTCTGTATTCTTTGGTTTCGACCGTGTGAGGGAGTTAATCTGGAGGAGGGCGGGACGCTGTAGCTAGCACATCTCATGCTAACGGTACAAACGTTAGTTAGCGTCAAATATCCAGTCACCCACTGCGTTAGCCTCTCGACAGCTAAATGTTACTGGCTCATTTTGTTATTCTTACCGTAAATCAGTTCGTTTGAGTCCAGACAGCTGACAGTAGGTGTGTGTGTGTGCAGTGGATTTGATCGCTTTGTGTTTGGACTCTGTTGTTTGCAGGAGATTGAGTTCTTGACGTCTTCAATAGGTCAGCTCAAAGTGGCCCAGACCAAGTATGTTGAAGCAAAAGATAGTTTGAACGTCCTGAACAAAAACAATAAAGGTGAGTAAAATGTACATTTAAAAAAATTATTTATATATATATACCCTCTTCTATATGTTGAAATGGTGAGCCTTGTGTTTCCATCATAAAAGTTTTCTTAGTCAGTAATATTAAAATAATTATCTTTAAAGGGCTCACTGTTCATCAGCGTGTTGCACAAATGTGTCAAAATATGAATTATGTCTCCACAGGTATATTATCTGTTTGATCAAACTTTACAGAATCATCCCCTACATCTATGAATCTGATTAATTTCTTCCCCTTTCTCTCCTCTCTGATACAGGAAAAGAATTGCTTGTGCCTCTTACCAGCTCTGTATCCTTTCTTCACTGTGGAACAACAAGTATTATGTTATGCTGCTCTGTGTGTGATGTGTGCGTGTGATGTGTGCGGGCGTGTGTGTGATGTGCTTTACATTCAGTTGTGCGTCTCTTGGAGATATACATATTTGTCCTTGACATCTCTTCTTCTCAGATGTACGTCCCTGGATCGTTACATGACGTGGACAATGTTTTAGTGGATGTGGGGACAGGATACTATGTTGAAAAGGCAAATATATTTGGATTTGAAAACCCAATAATAATTGAATCATCTTCCGTAGTAAATTATTAAAATCATGTAGATTATTTATACCTTGTGTTTATCTGTCTCTGTAGAAAGTGGAAGACTCAAAGGCATTCTTCAAACGCAAAATAGACTTCCTTACAAAGCAGATAGAGAAAATTCAGCCAGCCCTTCAGGAAAAACATGCCATGAAACAAGGTAAGCCCGGATACATTTTTCTTATTTATTTCTATTTAAAGTGCCAACATCTAAATTGGGTGAACAGTGCAGGAGTTGTAGCCCTTTCTATACATAGTCTCAAATACATAGAGATCAGTAACAGGAGTAGTTTTACAAAATGCCTCAGTGTTCAGGGTTTGACATTATTGATATTACATTTAGTTTTATAGGGCCTTTATACTGTGAGCCTTTGTCACCACATCCTTACAGCCCCACAAACATCCTGATTCCTCCGTGCTTCTTACTTCAGAACGTCTTACCTTTACTTTATACATTGTGCTCTTTCTTGCAGCTGTGATTGAAGTAATGAATGTGAAGATCCAGCAACTACAACAGAGCCAGCAGACATCACAGATGGTTGGACCCACCAAGGCTTAATGACAACACCTGTTTGAACTCTACATGACTGGGGGGGGGGTTAAGTGTTTGTCTAGAAAACTTTCATCTGCTGTTGTAGGACAAGGAAATAGCCTCCACTAATCTAATGAAGTCATGTTAAATAGTATGGAATAAAGATTTTTTTGTGCACAATGTTTGTCACCAGTAAATTATGAAGAGGTGTTGTCATGGTAACGCAGTCGTGTACTCAATTTTAAACTACTTTAATTGGGTATCCAATTAGTTTGCATAATTAAAGCGCTCACTGTGCATTCAAGGAACATTTCTGTTTCTTTCATTGTTGTATATTGTTATGTGCTTTTTTTTTTACATTATACTTTTCTAAGTAAACTGCATCTTCTTCAAGCATCTGTATCTGTGCAAGATTCCTGCACAGATACAGAGGTGTTTTCACTTTCTCTGGGTTAATTAGATTCTGCACACAGACTACAGAAGAGGTCTAATCAGCCACAAATGAAATCAACTGTCTATAAGGAGGAAGAGATGATGAAAGATAACAGTTAAGTAGAATAGCGCTTGCTTAGTGGGTGTATAACTATGTACAGCTCAGTTTTGGCAAATAGTTATAATCCAACAACTGTTTCTATATGTGCTCATTACAGGTTCAATGCACACAAGCATTAGCTATTTCCTTGTATAAGTTCCAAGATTGAAACTGGATCTTCATGCATCTTTAGGCAGGACTTAATTCAATTTTTACATGTTAAATAGATTTGAAATGATAAAATTGCCTTGATTGTTGAAAAACCTTTACACTATGTATTATAAGCTAGTTTATATTTATGGTACTTTATTAGTCTATAGCATTTCTTTTACTTAACGACCTGTGTTTTTCCAATAAGGCTCAATTTTGTCAATATTGTAATACTTAATAAAAGACAGTTAATACTCAGCAGGGTGTGATGACACAGACAATGTTGTATATTACAACCATATATGAGCTTATCTCACATTCTGATTTATATGACTTCAAGCTCTTTAAATAGGAAGTGGGCACAGAGTGGAAAGTGATAAGTTAAAACAAACAATTCTCGGTAGTGAACTTCAGATCTCCATTGCTGATGCAAGACGGAACTTCGGCCACAATCGGTTCCAAAGTTTGTCTGAGGTCGTGTCCTACCCGCCCTGCCCGAGAACTAACTCAGTCTCTGTGCTGTAGCTGATGAAATATAGTTATCAAATATAGTATCAGTTAACTTACAACATAAGCTAGCTTTGTGCGTCACATCGCTATTACAAACTCGATATATAACACATGCTGTAAAGGTCTCATACGGGCATCGACTCAACTCCTGCTGCCGTAGTGTCCCCTCGGAGAGGTCACACGGTCGGGCGTTGCTACGCTGCGGTGTTAGCATTGTTGTTGCCGGGGAGGTGGAGGCGGAGTGCAGCCTGTTGGGACGGACGGTGGCAGACAGAGGACGCAGCCGTCACATGCTGGATGAACGCTGCCTTGAAGGTGAACTGCGTGATGAGGAATTGAACAGAGGAGCATATGTCGTCAAACGGGAGCAGTTTTTAATTAATATCAACCAAACAGTTGTTAGTGTTTTTACATTAGAAGCGTTTAAAGTTGTGGTCCGCGCGGACGCACCGTTGGGACTGGAGCACGTTCGGCCGTTTGAACAACGTTACCGGGGAGACGGTAGTTAAGCGGAGAGAGCGACGAGGGTCCGCTCTAAATAAGTGTGGTCAATCACTTTTAAAGAGTTAAAGCGTCCGCAGGAGGATTAAAAAAAACCAAAAGGGCAATTTATTATCCCGGAGACGAGGAGGACATCACAAGAAGGCGAGGATCAAAGCAGCATGGTGAGTTTTGGGCCTGGAAAAGGGGGCACGTTAGCTAACATGCGACAACCTGTTTGCGTTCTTCCTCCTGTTTGACTCGTTGCTTTCTGAAGCTCGACCTAACTGCTTTACTCTGTTGTAGTAACTTTACACTCTTGACAGTAGTTGTTAGTCAGTGTCCATGCTACGAAACAAGACTTTTATTATTTACATGGGCAGTTAATTGTGTTCATGCCAACCTGTCAAACAAATTAGCTGCAAAGAAAGGCCGGTTCTGTCCGGTCTGCTAGTAACATAACGTAACGTTAGTTAGCTAAAGGCAAGTATTTAAAGTATCGCTAGTCAAAACATGGTGAACGTCAAACAAGCCTACCCTATCAACACGTGTTTAAGAACATGTTGAATTGGGTAATACTCTTGACTGACATTTCGCTTCATTACAAGTTACACTAAGAGTATTGAGTTGCATGTGTAGCGACTACTACACGTGATTTGTGTTACGTTAAATATTAGCTGTTACACAACTGTAGCTAGGTTAAGTAGCTATCAAAGAGTGCCCGGATAAAGGTCAAAGCTAATCGCTGCCTAGACGCCAGTTTTAAAAAGATCAATGCGGGGGTGACTTGATAATCAATTAAGCACAAACTCATTGTATCCAGTGTCTGCTCTGTTTAACCGGACATAAAGAGCAACGAATGTCGTCGCCTGCTTAAGTTGCATGGGCACGTCGGCACCATGTGCTTTTTCTTCCCGACCCCAGAGTAACTCGACTTTGATTCACTACAAACCCAGAGTCGATTCATTGAAACCGTATTTTGCCCTAGCAGACAGGTTAGGGTGTGAGATTAACATTCGTATACTGGTTTGGCATTATTGACTCAAGCACACTGGAGGGTTTTGCAATGGATGACAGGTCAAAATGCCTTGTACAAGTCACGCTGGAGCTCAGTGGCGGATTTGCGCCATGTATGGTTACATGTGACCGTTTGAGAGGCGGGGTCAGGGTGAGAAGGAAGCCAATGACAACTCAAACTCGGATGATTTGTTTGTGAGTGAAGAGCTGAGGCCTTGCAAACACGGAAAGCTGGATTACAGGATCTCAGAAGAACTAGCTTCATTCACTGGATTGGCTATTAGAGTAAGGGAGTCATCTCTGAATGTTGTGTGGGGGCTTAATGCTGTTATTCTGAGGTATGATGTTGCGTAGCAGTAAGTTAAAAGCATGCGTGAATGGCTTCTTGCATGCTGATCTTTTACTGAGTTCCCTTCTGGCTTTTTTAAAAATCAATTACATGAACATGGATCTGTGATGCATGTTATTTGTTAAAACTAGGGCATTTTATTGTGAAGAATTTGCCCTCGTTTCAAAGGTTTTTCTCTCTTTTTTTTGAGTGGCTGACAAATTATCTTGTTTGGAGGCCACACATTTTCAGCATTACCTGCAGTTGTAGAAGCATTCACAGAAAGTGGTGATTCACAAGAAGCTATTGTATTTCGATTTGTTTTGTTAGGAAAGATGCTTTGCCTAATAGTTTATACACCACTGTACACATCATGATCTATATTGTCCAACAAACACCTGTTCTCCCTCCACATTTTCACCAGTCTAGCCTGTAAGTCCTGGCTTCACTTCTAGAAACTGACAACAGCTTTAAATACCAATTTCTTCTTGTAATTGAAATAATTTGCATGGCAGGCGACACCACACATTACATATCATCGTGTAAAATCACGCTCTTTCATTCTATTTTCTGTAACTCACAGTATATTCATATATCCATGCAGGTCACCACAAAGGGAGCAGGTCTGAACCCCAACGCTAAAGTGTGGCAGGAGATACCTGCCCACCAAAATGATGTCCCAGAGGGAACAGAGGATTCTCCCTGGCTGCTGACCTACCCTCCCCCTGCTGAGATGACTGACGGTATGAGCTTATTTAGTTGTGTGAATGTTTTCTGACTTCCCTTTTATCTTGTCTTCTCACATACATTCAGATTCATGTAAACCAAACCCCTGTCTCTCCTGCACTGGTACAGTAATAAAGTATTGGGATAGATTGTGTGACACGTATAAACATGTATGGTGTTTAGTAAGCATTACCAAGATAATTACAGATAGACATGGTATGTGAGGAAATAGTTGTAACTCTTGTCCTCGGGGGTTGTGCAGCAAAGACAAAGCATGACAAAGCATGTTTTTAGATTGTGTCTAAACATGACAGTTATTTCACGATCATAATTTTGTTTCTGCTTGCCTCCTCTATCTTAGGTAACTTAAACTTAGATGTTCCCTCTACAGGGGGAAAGGGATACGACACTGACTATCCTGACGGCACAGCTGACTATGCCCCTGTACTGACAGAGGGCATTGTGAATGGCATTGACCACCCTGACCTGAGCTATTTAGTCTTTGAACCACAATGCGAGTCCGCCATAGATGGTGATGTTTCAAAGGAACAACCGATCTCTGAAGAGAGCCTAAGAGAGTCTTTGAAGAAACAGCTTGAGTTCTGCTTTTCTAGGTGAGTAGTTAAGCAATGTACTAAGCCCTTTTTAATGCTACAAATTGCAACTGTTTTCAGTGTGTTCATTTCTGTTCTTGCAAGTTTTGTTCAGGAGATGAAATGTTCTTTTTTTGCTGGAGCAAATGTATGTATGTGTGCTAACAACTATAAGAACAACATGAGACAATGATGAATAATAGAAATGACTTGGGAGTATGTTTCATAAATACATAGAATTGTGCACTACAAGCCATGATTTAATTCAGTAACAAAAAGACACAAATGTGTGAATTAAATAGGCAGAATTCATAATTGTGGCCCTACACTTGTTACAGTGATGAACTTCCCTATATATTGGGAGGACTATGAGCTTAATCGTAATGGTCTGCATTTTTGTACATTTATGTATAATAAATAGAAGAAGTGATAAAATCTTGTTTTTCATCAGAGTTCTAATGTTGTAAGATGGGAGTCTTCATATTCTTTCAATGTGACCGACATTTCTAGAGCAAAGACATTTTGAGTGATGTTTTGGGTGTTTGCAGGGAGAACCTTTCTAAGGACATGTACCTGATATCCCAGATGGACAGTGATCAGTTTGTTCCCATCTGGACCATTGCTTGCATGGAGGACATCAAAGCCCTTACCACTGACATGAACCTCATTCTGGATGTACTGCGAGGTACCAGTACTGCTGTTCTTTCTGTATTTGTGAGAAATGCTCACAGATTCACCAACACTTATGTTTACAGACAGAATCCATATAAAACATTTTTTACTTAAATGAAGTAGCTGTCTGCCATGCATGTTTTTTTATCATAGTGCTACTGAACAGGGTTTTGGTTGGGTTGCTAAGGACATAGAGAAAGTTTGCCAGAATTTGCAGTGTATGTAATAATTAGAATATTAGAATATCCATCAGCACACTGTAGGTGTATTAGGGGGCCTCAACTTACTTTGAAATGGTGA